CCCCCTCTCTCTCCTCTCTCTCTCTCTCTCCCCCTCCCCCCTCTCTCTCTCTCTCTCTCACTCACTCTCTCACCCGTTGCTAACCTATCGTACACTTCACACCCCCTTTAAAACAGGCAAAACCATAGGTATGGGTGGCTTCGGCGAGATATACCTGTGCCGTCGGGCGGGCGATAAGGCCGAGCAGTTCGTGTGCAAAGTGGACAACTATGACGGCCCGCTCTTCGCCGAAATGAATTTCTACATACGTGTGGCCAAAGAGGACAGTATCGGCGCGTTTAAGGCCGCCCAGCGGTTGAAGTACTTGGGAATGCCTCGCTATGTGGCCAACGGTATACACGACATCACTTCGCCCGCCGGCGCCCACAATAAGCTGAACAAAGAGACGGCCCGCGAGTGGAAGAGTCAGGCGAAGGCCAATAGGAATTCGCCAACTCTTCAGTACAGGTTTTTAGTGATGCAACGCTTCGGCCCGGAGTTGGCCGCAGCCGTGAAGAAGCGCCTGACGGCCACCGATGCCGCGCATATCGGCGCCAAAATGATTGGTAAGTGTCTTGTGTTTTAAGTGTGTTTTTCAATTGGTATATACCGTATATGAGTACCAATTGATGTGATAGTTATTGACCACCAAATTGTTTCTTTACCGCCACCGCCACAGATGTCCTCCATTACATCCATACGTTTGGTTACATTCACGCCGACATCAAAGGCACAAATATATTGCAAGCGTTGGCCACAGTCTCGAAGGGCAAGACCAGCGCCGCCGCCAACAGCAGCGACTACTACCTCGTGGACTACGGTCTGGCCGAGCGGTACAGCGATCTGAGCGGCAAACATAAGGACGAAGTGCCCGACCGGAAGCGGGCCAACAACGGCACCGTCGAGTATCGGTCGCGCGACGCCCACATCGGCCTCATTAGCCGCCGCTCAGACGTGGAGTGTTTGGCATACAATGTGATTGAGTGGCTGTCGGGTCGCCTCCCGTGGATGGACTGCTTGGCCAACGCCGCCAAAGTGGAGACCATGAAGAGGGACGGCATGAAAAACATGGACAAACTGTTGCGCCAGTGTTTCGCCGGCCATACAGTGCCCACTGGTCTCAAAGAGTTTATGCAAGAAGTGAACAAAATTGGCTACAAATCTGAACCCAATTACGCGCTTTTGAAACGGATTCTGACCGACAAAGTGGCCAAAAGTAAAGCAATTGCGGCCAACAAGAGGGCCGCCAATGACGACGACGACGAGGAGTCGGACGAAGAGGAGGACCGGGAGTCAGACGGCGAGGACGACGACGACGAGGAGGTGGAGGAGGAGAGGCCGAGACGTGGCAATCGTAGAGTCGGGCCGTCCAACACGCGGGCCGTCAATAAGTCGCCGCCAAAACGCAAACGCCCGGCGACTAAGACAACGGCCGCCAAAAAGAGGATATCAGTGGTCGAGTTGAGCGACAGTTCGCCGGAAAGTAGCGCCGGTCGAGCGAAGGGCAAGAGTCCGGCCAAGAAGTTGCGAGTCGTGGCCAACACTAAATCGGACAATCATTTGGACGCGAAGACACCGAAGAACAAGAATGGCCGAGATGAGTTTCGATTTAGTACACCGTTGATGTTCTCGCGCAAAGAGGACAGTTTTGGTAACCCTATTACCGACAGCGACCACTCGCCCGACCGTACGCGAGACGACAGCCAACTGAATGGCAGCGTAGCCTCCAGTGGTGGCCGTAGGGCTCATCGCAACACATCATACTATAGCCCAATGGGCGGCTCGTTGTCCGATATCGAGACCAGTCGACGGGAGTCGCCAATTATGGTGAAGACAGCGACGGCACCGATAGTGACCGCTGTTGTGGTGGAGACGGAGGCGATGCGAGCGGTGCGCCAAAAGCTTAACATTAAGGCACAGCAGGTGTTGGCGCCGCCCATACAGACAGAAACGCCGCAAATGAAGGAAATCCGCGAAATGAGGGAAAGGAAGGCATTGGAGGCCACGAAGAAGACCACGAAGAAGAGGAAGTGTTAAATTGTCTTAAAATGTGTGTTTTGTATCACTTTATTAGTTGATCATTAATTGTTTCATTATTTTCACTACAATTTATACCCATTTTTATACGTATTGTAATTGATTTGAAAAACATTTATTTGTTTTAATTGTATATTTTCTGTCATTTGTTTAGTTATTATTATAATAATTTACTAATGAATTAATTATTGCATTATTTTTCGAATTAATTTATTATTAATTTTCTTACCATTTATTGTCATTCTTATAGACATTGTCTTAAATGGCATTTATTTTACAATTTATTTGTTTAACTAATTTTCAGATTAGTTTTGTTGTGTTTATGATATATTTTTGGTTTAATTATTTATGGTATTAATGCCTGTATTAAAACCAGTTAAAGTATATCTACTATTTTCTCATAAGTAAACACGTGTAAAAATGAGTGATGATTATATAATTAGTTAAATAATATCTGATGTTATAAATTATAATAGTAATTATTTTCTAACCATTTGCTATTAAAATAAAATTAATTTTTCTAAAATCAAATATAAATTATTTGCGTTTTATTTCTACATTATTTAATTATTATTATTTTTATATAAATGAGTCAATTTATATCTGGAAGACAGAAGTTAAATTAATTATCATGGTTTAATTAACTGATTGATTGCTTTTAATTAGTTATATTTATTTGCAATAGGGGTGATTCACATATTACGTTCGCACTTTTTAAGAAATATAAATCAAGAGTTAAGTACATGAAACATGGTTAATAAAGTTTAGTAATTTAACAGATTATCAATGAATTAATCTACTAATCCCTGATATAATCAATTTATGGATAGCTTTTTTGAATAAATGCCATCATTTTATAAAACAATGTTTTACTAAACATTTGATTTTCATTTCTAACACAATCATTCATTTTATTGTATTGAATTTGCATTTCACTTAAAACTAATTATACAATTAAATTGTCTTTAATAAATAATTAATATTTGTTTAAACTACATAATTTGCTATTAATTAAGTGATTAGCATTTAAAATAATTATTTTGATATTATTGTAATATAGTTTATTGTCAATAAATTATTGATAAATAAATCAACTCTAAATTGTATACAAAATGTTCAAATATTTAGCAATTATATTGGTTTTGATTTACTCGGTGTCCGCTAATGAACACAACAATATGATTGTCGATCCAATCATTTCTGATGATTACCCACTCGAAGATTGCATGGAATACGGAATTAGTGAAAATGAACATGGCTGTCATACCGCTACTGTTAATTTTCTAGTGATATTTGCTAAAAGGTAGGTTATTTTGTTGTTACATACTGGGTGTCCCACGGGACAAGTAGAGGCACCGTATAAACTATATATAAATCATTAAATTAGCTAGTTCAAATAATTTAATCAATTTAATATTAAATATAATACGTAAATAAATGAAAAATATATCATAATAATATGTAATTTAAAAATTATTTATTTTACAAAATTTATACTTATAATGATGAACCTCTACTTGTCCATAAACTGCTATATGTTTATGGTTATATCTTATTCACCATATGAAAAATCTGTGAAATTCACTTATAAGTGCATGCACCTATATGCGGCGTAATACGGTAGTTTTCAAACCCCAAAAAATATTTTAATTTTCAATTCAAAATATTATTGAAATTTAACTATTATAATTTTTTACAGTTTTTCAGGCAATCAAAATGAACTCAAGTATTACGATATGTTGGCTAAAATAAGCGCACTAACCCTCTCACCAACTGGAATCACAGCATGTATTACCACAATCAATAACAATGATTGGGATGAGAACTTTCCACCAATTATATTGTGTTTAAATGGGAAAAGCTATTCATTTTCGGGCCCTAAAGTAGAGTCACAAATAATGGCATTTATTTTGAAGAATATGGTGGACAAAGTTGAGAGCCAATCAAATGCTATAACTTATCGTGATGTAATTATTAGCATTTTTGGTACTGTAATTATTGGTTTTATTCTAGTGGTAGTCAGTTATTATGTATTTTTGAGACCACTAAGATTTTTATACAGAGATCTGTTTAATTAATTGTTGTAAAAACTATTGTATTGAATGCGTAAAAGGTTTTATTTGATTGCTTATTAATATGTACAGTAGTACATGTATATAATAAGTTATTATTCATAGTGTTGTATGGCTTAAATCGAGTGCTAATATTAAGCACATAATAAAGATTAATAAATCAGACTATCGATGGATTTAATCAATTAATCCACGCTTTCAATAGCCCATCGATGGTTAATCTAAAAGCATGTGATCTCACATGTGATATACATTATAGGCTATAAGTTATTGCAATCAAATACATACTTTAAATCTGCTTTATGTTTGAAACAAATATTCATTTCAAGTTAAATAAATGAAAGTTTTTAATAAATAATTTATTTCCATCGGTTATAATGTATGACAATCTGTACCACAATTACAGCAACACTATCGATGAAGTGGTGGTTAACTCAGACCAGTCCTACGCAGACATTGTATACTTTCTGTCAAATCGTTGGCCAAAATGCCAGTACTATATGTCTGCAGATGTGTTGATTAGCGCCCAAATGTTGGCCAAAGTTTGGTCACAACCTCTCCATCCGAAGTGTGTCTCGAAGGCGATCATTGTTTGCGCACAAATCATAGCCTATTTCCTAACCATATGTTTAAGTATAATATGCACCGCATATATAGCCATCACTGGCCACTCGCGCACAGCACCGGCCAATTGGTTGGTCACTATCGCCGTATGGATGGGTGCGTGCGGTTTCATATACAACGACCTAATCATGGCTTACAATATGATCGCTGTTTACGGTGTTATAGCGACGGATCAGTTGACTTGGATGTGGTGGTGGGGTTCGGGTGCGGATCAGCAACCGATGGCAACTGTTGCCAAATGGCGGCCATGTTTTGCCTGTTTAAGCGTTGCAACAATTGACAATCATCTAAGCCTATTTATGATTATGGCATGTTTGTGGCAAGTGATCATGCACGTTTTTATATACCGGTTCAATACGGCCGGACAATGGGCTAATGGTGGCACTCATAGGCGAACTAAATTTATCTTAAAGTTTATTTGTTTCTCATTGTATTTACATATTGTAGGCACATGTTTTACAATCAATTGCATGTTCTATCTTAAAGCGTGTTTAAATCGTGAATAATAAATGTGCTTGATAAAATGTATAAATGAATTGATATTTTTAAATAAACATTTTTATGACCTGATCTGATCTCAACCCAAACTCAACTCATTTAATGCCAATTTGTTTAAAACTATAATTATGAGGTATTTTACAAATAAATATTTTATTTTATGATTTATAAAAATTAATTTATTTAATAAATAAAATATAATATAATTAAGATTTAATATTTAATTTAATTAATAATTAAAAGTAAATACAGTATAATATACTAAATACAGTATAATGTACATCGTCTACAAAACAAGACACACAATGATATGTCTTTGTATGCAATGGTATTAAGAAAGTCAATGCTTTTATAGACATGATATACGAGATATAATGCGAAACAGATATAGCAATATCTCAGCGATGGTTAAGTGGCCGGCGCTGTCATCCAACTCCACACTTGATCGCTGTGTCTGTATTCGCTGGGCGTATGTCTTGTGGTAAGTGTGGTGAACGTGAGGCCGACGATCACCGCCGACACGATCCACAAAATGCAATGATATTCGCCGACAGCCGACTCCCGGCGGCCGAGCCGTTGAAATACGGCCGCCGTTACGCACGAGTAGGCAAACAGAGCCGTCATAAACACTATGAGAGTGGTGTCTGAGTAGGTCTGGGCGCCCACAACACCGATCACCCCTATCAGCGAGAATATCAGTGTAGAGACCCGGACACAGGTCTTGAGGGCAGCGGATCCGCCTTTCAACGGATAATTGGTGACCAAATACACGGCAACCAACTGTTGGCTAATCACCAATAGGTGTATCAATCGATAGCAACCGCACTCTTCGGCGCTCACCGTATCCCTCATCACATCCATCGGATCCCACCAAACCTCTGGAGTATTGGCTGTGTTGAGTGCTTTTATTTAATAGCGAGATGTTTTTTGTGGGTATTTTCACTTGACTGGACACTTAGCAACACTTTTGTTGATTTTGTTGATATCCTCACACTTTTGCGGTGTATATCTTCTTTCGCACCAAATATTTTGATAACTATTTTTTGATTACAATTTTTTTGCTGGCATTCAGTCTCATAGGGATTGTATGTCTGGAAAGAGACGATATTTTTTGAAAATGAATTATTCACTTGTCGTATGAATTATAATGATTTAAAATGAAAACACATTTGAAAATATCATTTTGGAGAGAGAGAGAGAGAGAGAG